TTACTTACCTGATTGATGTTACCTTCAGCATTCCAACTCCAGAGTTTCGTAGACGGATCCTCCGGCAGTTGCTTCGTCCACTTGTCAGGGTTATCAGCAATATATATACATATATATATATATATAATATATATATATATATATGTGTGTGTGTGTGGGGGGAATTAATGTGAGTAAAAGTTTGTCACTTAGCTGATTGATGTTACCTTTAGCATTTTTCGTAAGCGGACCGGTCCGTTCACTCTTCAGAGGATATCAACAATTTACTGCTTATATTTTTTTCGATTTTCCGTTTATGTACATTTAACAAAGGTGTAAGTTTTTTATGCGTTTTTTTGGTTCCTGTGTGCGTTTGTGCACGTGCAGCCATGCGCCTGGCTCTGCGGATGTGCGTTCGTGCGCGTGCGCCCGTTTGCGCGGATGTGTGTACATGTTGGGTGTCCTGATCATTTGTTCCTTTCACCTTTCTTTTCTTTTTCTTTCTTTCTTTTTTTTTCTCCTTCGTCTTATATTCGCTCACCAGTCTTCTCTCTTTTTCTTCCTTTCTCCTCTTTTCATTCGATTGTAGCCGAATCCGTCACGATTTGTTCCAACTGCAGAGACGTCACCGATTTTTATTTTGGGGCATGGTTTTTCTTTTGTTTTTTAAACCATTTTTTTTTCTTAAAGAAATTATATTTCGTTTTTTTTTAAACGAATACTTGATACTAATGCCTAAATAATAAATATTATATATATATATATATATATATATATATATATATATATATATATAAAATGGACAAAGACCGACAATTATTTAAAGACATTTTTATGTTTATACGTTCTTTTTATAGATACAAATATTTAAGTAAATGCTCTGTTTATAATAAACAGTATTAACAACATTTACCAGCCTTAATGTCCGAAACATTTTTATAGAAAATATGCGTCCTCTGACAGGAATCGAACCTGTACCCTATACGGAACCGTCATTTAGCCTGACGTGCTTTTACCGATTGAGCCACAGAGGAGCGTTTCGGTTAGCAAGGTCGATTTTACTGTTTTTAAACTACAATTTTTCATGATTTTCTCTCATACATTCATATCTGCTCGATGCGTATCTAAATTTAAGCAAATGACGTCACACATTATTAAATGGACAAAGTTCGACAATTGTACAATCTATAAAAAGAACGTATAAACATAAAAAATGTCTTAAAATAGATGTGTATATTTAATATTTGTTCGTTTATTTATTAATAAATTAAGTTTATATTTGTTTCAATTATTTATTTAAAGTTTATATTATATTATATTTATTTTATTCATTTATTTATTTAAATTTTATATTATATTTATTTTATTTATATTTATTTGTTTATTTTAATTAGTACTTAGACGGCAAAGTATTTATTTATATGCCTACATTTACCCATTATTTCAGCTTTCTTGTTTAAGAGTTTATTTTAGCTTTTAAAACTAACTATTGCTAGTTTTTTCTCTAATCATAATTTACAATTTTTAATTTTAATACTGTATGGGGCTTCTCGTTTTATAATTTCCCATTTGATTTTGGTGGGGATATTGTTTTCTTTTTGGCTCCATATGTATTTTGATAGGGTTGTATTGTTTGTGTATTTATTTCTTCGAATTATATTTTGTGATTATAATAACTTTCTTTAAAAGTTTTTTCATGTGACGCCTATGTAATTTTTTGGTCTGTGTTAATGTTATTAGTTACAATAACTTTGTATATTATGTTACTGGTTAAACATTTATTAATTGGGCAATTTTCTTTGTTTCTGCAGTTATTTTGCTGCATATTACTGTTACGGTAATTGTTATTGGTTTTGTTGAGTATATTTTTTATTGTGTTTAATTATTACTTTCTCCATGTTATCCATGCAGCTGTAACTAATTTTGATTGTATTTTTGCTGATAATTTTTGATAATTTGCTGTTTTTAGGGAAGTGTTTCTCAAATTTTGAAGAATAATTTTCCTATTTTTGTTTTTTATTGTATTGTTGTGTGCGTATGTGGGGAGAGGAGGCTGAACCAAATTATATTTCTTTTTCTGTTGTTTTTGTTTGAATTGTTTTCGTTTTTGTATCCTAGTTTGAATATCCGCTGTTTGTTAGGGCTGATGCATTTTTTCATTGAATATAATGCTTAATATTATTCGCATCGTCTTTGTGAATATGCTATTATTACTTGGTTTGAAATAAAGAATTTAATTTGTTTGTAATTTAGTTTGGAAAAACTTTATTAACTAGCGTTTGTTTTCACCTTATTGAGTTCCCGAAAAATTGTTAGTCCCCTAGTGTCTGCCTCCCACGAAAACTGTTACAACTGCGTCACACCGCGTCCTACACGCCCTCACTGAGTCAGGAGTGTAGTGGGTAGAAGCGAAAGAAACCAGTTACCAACTAGGAATTACGGGTGCTTTAAAAAATGGGCTAACAAAACACCCCGTGTGACTAACGCAGGGTTAAGGTATAGTAATCCGTATGGATAATCCCAAGAAGGATGTAATCCAGAGAACTCAATGTCAAACCAGAGGAAATATTATTTTTGTTTGGAAATGTGATCTGAGGAACCAGGAATAAACCACCTTCCTGGGGAAATAAAAAATAATCGATGGTTGTCTATTTTCTAAATTTAATTATATATATATATATATATATATATATATATATATATATATATATATATATATATATCTGCGCGCGCGTGTGTGTGTGTATGTATAAAGGATTAATACAAACATAAAATTTGTCACTGAACTGATTGATGTTATATTCGGCATCTCGACCACAGAGTTTCGTAGGTGGACCCTCCAGCAATCGTCAAGTCCACTCGCCAGGAGATACCGGAAATTGACTGTATATTTTCTTGTTTTCGTTACTTTTATATTGTCAAAAATAATTTATGCATTTTTTCATAAATGCACGATTGAGGTCTTCTTTTTTTTATTCTTTGTGTGTGTGTGTGTGTGTGTGTGTGTTTGTGTGTGTGTGTATGTGTGCTTGTGCATGCACGTGCCCACGTGCATGTGCTTGCTCGCACGCATATGTATATATGCGTACACGTAGAATATCGTGCCCACCTCTTCCCCTCATCGTTATTCCTGTCTCTCCATAATCTCTGCCTATTGGTTTAATACCTTTTGCTCTCTTTGAGTATCAAAGACAACTGTAGCAAAACTGAATCTGGCGTGACATATAGTCTCTGCTCTTGGTAATTCTCGGATGTTCTAAGGGCTTTTTTGAGTTTGGGAAATGTAGGTGTATTTAATTTCTTTACTTAAATACTTTTTTATTTTTTCTATTAATGTTTAAAAATAATTTATTCCGGTTAATCTTGTTTAAGAGTTTATTTTGGTTTATATATATTTAATCACATAATTAAATAAATTATGGAAATAATGAACAAATTAACAAACTACGAATGCACACAAAAACACAAGTTAACGTCATTATAATAATCAACAGCAGATAATTAAGTAATCATTAATATATAATGAGTAAAAAAACAACACTATAAAATAGCTGCAAATAACAACCTTCAGATCCACAATTATTCCTGCTCAATATCCACTAGAATAATTTGAAACATAACTGTTACCGCCTATCCACTAACCGTTAGGATAATACAATAGACCTCGTAACCCATAATGCGCCATTGAACAGCATATATAGATAGCCGACCACAAACACAATACAACATAGCCTAAAGATTGCGTTAAGCATTAAACAGACTGTCGTCCCCAATGTTCACTTATATATATATATATATATATATATATATATATATATATCCGTAAATTCTAAGGTTTATTCCAAGGAGGTGTTTTTAATATAAAAATATTAAGGAGTCAAATCCATGAAGAGAATAACTCTTCAATGTATAACTTTACAGAGCGATATAAATAATAAATGACATATATATATATATATATATATATATATATATGTGTGTGTGTGTGTGTGTGTGACAGAGAGAGATTTTGTTTTTGTAACGGCGGTAGTAATCGGTTTACAAGTCCAAGTAAAACTGATTAATTCTTTTACGGTTTATCAACCCTTTGTGGAGCCCAAGTAAAAAGACACGATTTCGAATACAGATTTCCAAGAAAGTTTCTCAATCACACAAATAATTTATTTTCTACCAGCCTTTTACCACATAAATCTAAACATGTGGATATTTACAAAATCCGATCAGACATTTAAATAATTTTTTCGTAATATTTAGTTTCTTTTTCAGTTGACAACGCAAAAATGATACTCAAAAGTTCAGGGAATGTAAGAGGTAAAATCTCTTTCTTGCGAGAATGATTTTAAACGAAGTTCTTTATTACCATTTCGAGAGAGGGTGTAAAAATGTCCGGTGAAATATCTTGGAAATGCTGGATATCTTGACAAGAATATATTTATCAGGTGAAATTCACCGAGCGTTTAGGTAACACTTCATATATCAATTTACATCGAAAGGAAATCATAATGACGTTTGAGGTATCTAGTCTTTTAATCAAGATTGAAGTAAGCTTTCTGTATTTCAGAATAATGTCAGGAAAATTTTCAGTGTAGCTGATTTGGTTTTTGTTTTTTCTTTGATCGAATGTGTGATCTCAATTCGTGACAATGCTAGTGTCGACACTTAGGTTCTGTATTTTAGATATCTTACTAGTAAAGCACCCGTAAAAATGACAGTATCAATTGTGCAAGTATCTGTACATGTGGATCTGTGTGCTCTGCTTAGAATCAATGTATAGTATCTGTAGAAAATATTTTTAGGTTTTAATTATTTTTCTGAGTGTGAGGAGAAAATAATGATTTAGTGATACAAGTCTTACTAATTAATCCATAGCTGGGAGGGGAGGGGAGGGGAAGACGTGGATTCATACCTTTCCCAAGGTTATTTGCACATATGTGAATAGAACGAACTCAACGGGAATTGGAACTCGACTCTCCGATTAACAATTCCGAATCATTATCCATTACACCACCTGCACGTCCAAGCTTACAGTATCTGGTATTCCCAAGCGGTCATCCATCTGGGTACTCCTCTGGCTTGACGTTGCTTAACTTCGGTGATCGTACGAGAAATACTGATTCAACATGATGTGGCCGTAAGCCTATAGCGGTTAATGTACCAGCTGATTTCCTGTGTTCTCAATAAATATCTGTTTACCAAAAATTATGCCGGCATCATAAATTAATATAGAACAGAAGCAAATAAGACCTCAAGTTCTTCTCTTTTTTATATAAATTAATGAAGACATGAAGATTATTTTTTTCTTTTTTCCCCTGACTACATCAATGTGAAGTTGACTTTTCTTCGTCAGGTAATTTTTTTTCAACATCACTATGATATTTCACCCCAGCTTTGGAAATGGGGACAAGTCTGTTGCTCCTAATTAGGCTAGGTGCAGTGGCAACAATATTTACCCATGTAAATAATGGGTGTAAGGAAATAGAATAAATTTTAACAAGGCGGTATTTTATTTTTATATATCTGTGTAACAAGAGAACGAAAATACACTACTATGCATACAAAATAAATAACAATAAATGTTAGGAATTGTGTGTGTGTGTGAGTTCAGACACCCGGGGAAAGATGTCTCCATGCCGTGTCGTAGCAACAGGGAAAGAGAGACTAACCTTAGAGGACAGGAAGTGACAAGACGTATAGTTTTGTTTGACAGCGCCACCTAATGACATCTTGGCGAAACTAGAGGTAACCCACAAGTCTTATGGCATGACTTGTCTTAATCAAGTGAAATAATAGCTAAACAATCCTTCTTTTTTTAAATCTTTTTTGAGATACAAAATTTTACTAAAGTTATAAAAACAGACATTAAAAAGAACAGAGAAAACAAAGAGTAAGGAAAAAGAAAAAATAAGTACCATAAGGCAGGTGAGGCAAAACAGGAGAAAAGAAATTCTTTTTTTTTCTACAAGAAAAACTTAAAAAATTTGGTTAACTACTATTCATCTTTCGAAGAACATAAGAGACATAGATATGCATAGATATGCATGTTTGGGATTTGTGACAATAGACTTTCACCATACTTGTGTTATGGTCCAAAATGACGACATTTCATCATTCTAAAATTTACCTTGCCATCAGTGATGATAAAAAAAATCAAGGATATTTCATCATTCTAAAAATAACCATGTCATCAGATGATAGAAAAGAAAGATATTTCATCACCCTAAACCTGGTGATTATAAAAACGACCCTTCCATCACAAGAGAGTCAGTAGAGTAGTGTAGACTAGGGTACCCATAGTAGTAGACAAGTAGAAGTAGTCAGTAGAAACACACGTCTGCCAGCACTCCGGAAGATCGAAAACAGGTGATTTCAAACGCCATCCTCACAAACAAAATTCTCAAAACCAAACCAATTAAGCACTGACCTTTAAACAAAAGAGACACTGAGAACATTTTTACACACACCATACCAATATTCTGTAATTCACATCACAAAAAATACAAATTCTTGCTATTTATGTCAACACGTCTCAACTTTTTATTGTTTATAGAAGACATAGATATGCATGTTTGGGATTTGGGAAAATAGACTGTCACCATACTTGAATGTTATTACAGTATTAAGAAGAAAACTAAAAAGTTATGGTTTCTTTTAGGAGTTTTGTTATTAAATTCTTCATTAATGTTCAACAGGTTTGTTCTTTATTTCACAAACAACCATTTCCTTACATGGCTAAATCAAAACTTGTTTGTAGCCGACAAAGGGATATGGGATGAGAAAGGAAAGATATAATTAATCATCTCATCTCATACATTAAACATGATCTTTTTACATTACTTAAAGACCAGCCACGACTTTACCTTCCCAAAAGAATACATCTTCTAATAGATCACAACACCAAAATTGTAGTCAGACCCGTTTCATATTTATTCAATCAGATAAATGCTAATATACTTCGTCGAACCAAAACATTTGCCATTAAAACATGTATATGTTATGAATAATCAAGAGTGTTTTCCCCTTGTTTCGTTACTCTCCTCTTTGAAAGAGCTATTTCTGTTTACTGGGACTATAAGAGGACACTATACGCGAACCTTGAATAAAGCTTTCTTAAAGCCTACACCTGCGTACTTCTGTCATTACAATATATTTCGAATACTAAAAATGAAACCATTATTTATTTTACCGTTTCAGGTTATGATAATGGCAACGGTAATATTAGCCGTTTCCTTATAAAGAAATATTCAGCATTCACTGACCGACCGCAGATGAAAATGTGCCAGAAAATGCTAAGCAAGAGATAACTCGTAGTCGGCGCAATAATAAAAACTGCAAATCACGCGTTAACTCGTATTTGGCAGTCAATGTGTTAATAAAATTAAATATTTGGCTTAAATAGTAAAATGATATTAGCTGTTTTTTGGGAAATTTGTCCCGGCTTTCCCCCATGAAAGGGTTATGGTTAAAGGTGACAGAATCGATGAAAGCAATGAACATATATATATATATATATATATATAAAGCTTTCTTAAAGCCTACACCTGCGTACTTCTGTCATTACAATATATTTCGAATACTAAAAATGAAACCATTATTTATTTTACCGTTTCAGGTTATGATAATAGCAACGGTAATATTAGCCGTTTCCTTATAAAAAATATTCAGCATTCACTGACCGCCCGCAGATGAAAATGTGCCAGAAAATGCTAAGCAAGAGATAACTCGTAGTCGGCGCAATAATAAAAACTGCAAATCACGCGTTAACTCGTATTTGGCAGTCAATGTGTTAATAAAATTAAATATTTGGCTTAAATAGTAAAATGATATTAGCTGTTTTTTTGGGAAATTTGTCCCGGCTTTCCCCCATGAAAGGGTTATGGTTAAAGGTGACAGAATCGATGAAAGCAATGAACATATATATATATATATATATATATATATATATATATATATATATATATATATATATATATATATATATATATGTGTGTGTGTGTGTGTTAATAAATACACATGTACCTACGTTTGATGTGCGACTGGAGTTTCGTTGGTTACCCAATTGCTCGAGTCGCACACCAAACGTACGTATATGTGTATTTATTAACATATATTTCTTAGCACTGTCTAATCACATTCAGCAGTATTATGTCTACATCTCTTGGATAAATTTGGCAATTATTTATCTGCTTACCAGCGAATGCATGCCAGCCCACGTGTATACGGTCACTATTTTCTCATTTACACACACACACACACACACACACACACACACACACATATATATATATATATATATATATATATATATATATATATATATTGTCATCCACAGACAGACTGTTTCGCTGTATCACAGCTCAGCAGTGTGGCTAGACGTACGCTTGCCTCTAGCTAGGATCGAAACCCGACTGAATTGGCGTCAGTCGGGGTTCTACAACAAAAACCGTTGGAGGTGAATTTAAGCGTATTTATTTTTAGATAAACACACAGTAACTGAGAGAACTCGATTCGATTTACCGAAGAGTCTTGCATTATATATATATATATATATATATATATATATATATATATATATATATATATATATATATATACTGTTGTAAATGGGACGGAAGTCGTAAGCATATACTGATAGACTTCTATGAAAGATAGGATTAGGTTAAGGAAGATCCGTTTCAAATTTTATCAAAGATCAACACTGAATTAAATTATAACAACTTCCGGTTCCGCAGTGTTAACTATTATACAAATCATCCAACTTCGGCATACGACTTACTACCTACGTAAAGTTATTCGGAACTAACTCACGTATTTATTAAGAAACCTCACCAAATAACTAAACAAGAAGGATAAGAAATGTTTTAGGATACATAAGATAGACTTTATTGAATTGTTACCTTTGTGTTGTGGGGCTCTCCCTTTTTACACAAGATGGACTCGTCCAAAGTATACTTATAATGCTGTTGAGATACGTGGAGATTTATACAAGATCGGCGTGGTGTAATGGTTAGCCAGCTTGTCTCACTAGATCAGTTACAACTGAAAAGTGAGTTCGATCCTCACTAGATGCCCCATACTTTCGGCCTTGTGCCACATCTAAGCTACGCTTGGAAAATAACTGGGCACCTCGGCGTGGTGTAATGGTTAGCAAGCTTGTCTATTGAAAAGTGAGTTCGATTCTCACTGGATGCCCCATACTTTCGACCTTGTGCCACATCTCAGCAACGCTTGGAAAATCTCTACTCTATACAAGAGTCCAGAGAGAGAGAGTTGATTACGGCTTTACTTACAGAGACTTGTACATATACTTTCTACTAACCCGCATTACTGGACTACTAATCTTTACTAAGTTGTTGTGGATTCCGTGAATGGAATCCTGCACAAATAAATAAACAACGCCAATAATTGAGATAGAAAAATAAGTGTATTAAACGTAAGAATACAGACTTGAAGTGAAGATTAGTAGTCCGGGAATGCGGGTTAGTAGAAAGTATATGTACAAGTCTCTGTAAGTAAAGCCGTAATCATCTCTCTTTCTCTGGACTCTTGTATAACTCTCTGAGAACACTCTGTGTCTGTCTCCGTATCTCTCAACCTGTCTCGACGTATCTCAACGTATCTCAACAGCAGGTATTCTCTCTGTCAGTATAAGTATACTTTGGACGAGTCCATCTTGTGTAAAAAGGGGAGAGCCCCACAACAGTTTGTTTCGTAAAAAGAACGTTTTTTGCTTATTTTAATAATTTCACCCCAAACAAGACAGCAATACCACAAGGATGCAAGGGGTTACTGGGTGTAAGAGAATATGAGAAAAAACTACTATTAAGGAGAGCGGACAATAAAAGAAGAAGAATTAAGAAGACAGAAGATGGCGATTGACATTGCATATAAATTTTTGAAGATTAAAAGTTGACTGGGAAGCAAAAATCCGGAAGAGAGTTCCACAAGAGAGAAGTGTGATAGAAGAAACTGTTAGCATAGAACTTACGGTTACATTTAGCCGTTTCAACTGTAAAATGATGAGACTTTGCCACCAATCTAGTACTGCACTTAAATTCGCAAAGTCTAGGTACCAAAGAGGAAGACTCATCAGAACAATTACCATGAAAATATTTATAGAAAAAGCACAGGGAACCTA